ATGGGGCAGATAGCTAACACCCTAAAAGACAGAAATAAAAATGTCCCCTTTTGATTCTATGATCATTAAGAAGAGATTATTGCATATAGTCTGGTACTCTTTTCTATAATGGAAAGCTAAAAAATTCTAAGAAGTCCCCATGTAGAATTTGAAAATAGTAACCATCAATTTCCTATTTGTGCCTTTAGTAGTGTCAGTTTATAATAACAAACAACAGTGTTATAGTTCAGTGCTAGCTTTGGGCCCTCCCCCATCTAAATAAGCCAAATGAAGTGCCAAAATAGTTGGATCCTTCTTTTACTGCTACCTTCTTAGAGACAAAGGGGCAGGCACTACCTACTGATTGTCAATTTGTTTTTCTTTCCTCTTCATTTACTAGGCAGAAGAAGAAGAAGTGGTTGAAAAAGTAGAAAAGGTCAATTTTACAGTGCGATTGACTGGGTTTAAAGCTGAAGACAAGGTGAAAGTTATCAAAGAAATAAAGAACCACATGGAGAACATAAACCTTGTCCAGGTAAAATGATTCTTTCCTATACTTGTTCAGATTTATACTATTGAGATTATACTACTATATGCATTTAATAGAAATATATGTGCTGCTTTTTGGAACCTGCCTTAAAGTGGTTTGTGCTAATAATACAAATCCACTAAAACAACAAAATAAACAAATGGTGATCAGCAAAGTTAACATTGGATGGACATATGCTTTATGCCTGCTTAAAAAACATCAATGAAGGGAGTGAGTTATACATCTTGTTCCACAGTTAAGTTCTGACACTAAAAATGCCATACCTTATGCTATTGATTTCCTTGGTGACATAAACTAGTGGAAACTTTAGTGATTACAGTTGATTTCTTAGCAAGGTCTTGCAGGAAGGCACTTTCCTTCAGATACTGTGGTCCCAAAAGATATAAAGCTTTATAGATAGAAATCAACATCTTACATTGTGCCTGAGAATAAATAAAGCTAATCTCAAGAAACGGAGTTAGTATAATATGGTCCATAAGAGGGATATTCTAAAATATGTTCCTTCCCTGAGCTGCCTTAGTTCATTTTTAAACTTGATTTCCATAGAACTCTTATTGTAATTTTTTGATGTTGCCAGTTGGGGGCAGAAATTGTAAGATTTGATGGAGAGTTCAAAAAAAAAAAGAAAAAGATTATGTGGAATGAGTAAAAGTAAAATTAGGATCCTCTGATATAGTGGCAACATGTCTGTCATGAATCATTAACTCAGTGGCATTTATTGAGAAAGCAGGGCTTAAAAAATGGCAGGATGGCAGAAAGGTCACAGCAATGCGAACCTGCACCCCTTGGGTGTGAATGTATACAAAGGCACTTGCATTTCAACATCACTTTCCCCTTCCTGCTCTTTTGCATGCATCTGCACCCTTCCTCCATGCAAATGAAGCTGGTAAAGCTCCAAAGACAATTTCCTCAAATCTTTGAATTCTGTTTACTAAACCCTAGAACCATAATTTAGGAAATGTTTCTTTGGGAAAGATTTTGGGGCTGCGCTGTCTCCTCAACTTCAAGAGGTAAGTAGAAAGTATATAGAGACCAAGACTAGGATTAGCTGAGGTTTCTTTCGAATGTTGTGCTATCCTTTTCATGTTCTGATTAGAGCCTCTCTGTCTCGCAGGCAAAGAAGTTGGTGGAATCTCTTCCTCAAGATATCAAAGTAAATGTTCGTAAAGAAGAAGCAGAAAAGATCAAATCGGCTCTAGAGGCAGTTGGAGGCACAGTAGTTGTGGATTAAAGAATCTGCCTACCTGCCAAAGGACTTGAAGCAGAGCGGGGGGAAGGACCCTCTGACTTGTATCAGCCACTCCTGCTGACTGGTGGTGGGGTACTGTGCGGTTCCAGGAAAGTTGCACTGCCCCGTTTTTTTTCTGCTGTGCAGTTTCCCATGGGGATGGCTCAGTGTGTAACAATTCTTTAGCACACCTTGCAGTCTGCTATGTGGTTAAAAACCTGTATTCATAACGAATATACATGATGGATAACACCTGTAAAACATGTGTGGTGATCCTTTCTTGCATGTTATTGGATTTTTCCCCATCCAGCAGGTTTCTCAAGTTTGTGCGGGTATTTGGACCGGTGTCTCTTACTGGCAAATTTAATCACTTTGTGGGAGGAGATGGGTGGGATCTTTGTAGATTTTGGGTCATAACTCTAAAATTGTCTTTCCAATAGGAGGTATAAGTGAAATTGATTCTCTTTTAATAAAGAAGGATAGCAGCTTGGAAATGTTAGCTTTCCCTGTTGTGATTTACTAAATTTAGTAGGAAAAAAAAAATTCCCCTCCCTGAAACGTTTCCAAATTTGAGCAAGTTAAACTTAGGTAGGGATAGTATATTCTGCAAGTTCCTTTGTATATCCAATACCAGGGAAGAGGGCTAGACCCACACCTTAGCCCCTGATTGATGTCTGTTCTCTTCTGTGGGTGGCCCTTTTCCTCTCCCCTGCCCTTAGTCCCTTTTGGTATGATTTATATCAGCACAGCCTACAACTATCTTTTCTTTGGCACTTGCTGGGTCTTGTGATATGGTGGTTTGCTCAACCTTGGCTCCCATTTGAAGTTTTAATATAAGTCATTGTTCAGGTCTAAATGAATATTCTTAGTTTGTTTTAGATCGTTCATTCAATGGAACAAGATGTGGTTTTAGTCCAATGTCCATGTAGTATTTTCATTTAAAGCCAAGCTAACGGGAACCTTGGCAGGCAAGAGATTGCCTAAAGGCAGCTTTTAAGGCACACTGTTAAGACTGATAGTTACAATGCTGCTTTTTCAGCTTTAACTATATTTTCTCCAGCACCTAAGAATTCATAGAGGATTTAAAATATGCAAATTTACATGACGGTTTAAAGGCAGGAAGAATTTGAGACTTTTTTTTCACTGTAATCTTTTCATGCTTTTCTTGAAGATAGCGTGGTAGTGGCTAATTTTTAGAGTTGGGAAACATGTTTTACTGACCAATAAATTTATTGGGCATTTTCCACTATAGTAATACAATAAACAATGCCAAATATTATACCTCCTCCAAAATGTACCTACACAAATGTATCTTCTGTGCTTACACACCTCAAATATTTTCAAGATTGCTGAAGCCCTATAAATAATATTGCCCTTTTACAGATGCAACTATGGAGACCTAGAACGAATTTCAGCAAATGAGCACACTTTTAGCAATTATTCTGTCACAAATATTGCTAGCTAAGGTCTGGAACAATTATTGGAAAGCAGCAAATACATCCTTCAAGACTAGAATGATGATGATGATAAAAGAGTATGGATGGAATGTTTCATCCTAAATATATATTTTTTCTGTTGTCTTATGATCAAGGCAGTAAGTTTACTCAGAACATGTAAAACTATCCATTTTTCTTAATGCATTTGTGGATGCTCTTAAAGCAATTTGGAATGGTGTGCCTTCAGAAGTTATGGGTGGTCCATCACTAAAGGTTTTTAAGAAGAGATGGGACAACCAGTTGTCTGAAATAGTATAGGATCTGCTTGAGAAGGGGGTTGGACTAGACTTCCAAGTTCCTTCCAACTCTTATTCTATTAATTGAGAGAGTGAGCAAGTTTTTTTTTTACATAGAAGATAAAATTATAAATGGCATCCCTGGTTAAGTTGAAGAATTAACACCCTGCTACTGGAAAAAAAAATAGAGCAATTGTGTGCAAAATGTTTCCAATGTGTATTCCTTCAAGTTTGAAACAGGCTGTTAACATTTTGGGAGCATTTTGCACTTGAAACAGTTCTGAAATGATTGAGCCCATTTCAAAATTGTTTCAGATGCAAAACGGTACAACTGTGGAAGTTTTGCACAGCTTTATTCAGTACCAACAGGAAATTATGCAATATGAATGCCCTCTTAGGAGCCTTAAAGATGACTTTGCTGCAGGATATATGATGTTCAGATTGCTATGCCAAAGGCAATGCAGTAGGCGTTAAAAAAGCTATAGCCAGATGATCTGCAGAACATCTGCCAAAGGAAGACTGATGTATACAGTATAACTATAACTATCTAAAGAGAACCAGCTTTGCAAGATGGAATTGCAGGAAGATGCTTTAAATTCAATAGTTTGGTGAAACAGCAATGCAATGCAAACTAATGCTGAATTTTTAATTTCCTACCAAACATTGCCAGTAAAAGGAGGGGGGAAGAAGACAGCAAGACTTGCTCCAAAACATACAGATTTTATGGTACCATAAATACATTTACTGGGGCATAAACATTTTAAGATTACAAGTCCTCTAACAAATGAAGAATGATCTTCAACAGGAATGAAAAAATTGAAATGGAGAAGCAATAATGCCTATATATTACCAGAAGATTAACCCCAAGTCAGCAATAACACTGATTTTTTTTTCTGATCAATTGGATCAAGCAAAATGAACCCTGAAATGCCAGTTATTTGTTGATCACTGTGTTGTCCCAAGGGCCTAGCCTGCTACCTTGCACTGTAAAGCCTAATACCAACAAAGCGAAATAAAAACTGCACAATCGACTTAAATGTTAATTTCAAAAAGCGCTAATTCCATGGGCCTATTCCATGATCTCAAGTGTGCCTCCCTGTATGAAATTGAGCATAGGACAGCACGCAGAATTGTGTAAAAGGCCATGCCAACTCCAAGAAAATTGTTTATTTATTTAATTTCCACACTGCCCATCTCACCTAAGTGGGAGGTTTACAACCACAGATGAACTGGTGTGGAGAGTCTTTTTTTTGCCTTTTAGGGCTATTTGAAAAAACAAAAATCAATGCGGTCGCTCAGACTCGACACTTTCTTAATCTATCCCATAATGTCACAAAATAGTCTTTAGGCGGCCTTCTTACAAACGTGCATAGGAAAATGAGCTTGGCGATTTGGTCAAAACGTCTTCGGAGCCGCCTTAGACTTTAATGCCAGTCATCCTGGAAGCACGAGTCCCTCTCGCGAAAGAAAAGCCCTGGCGGGAACCTGCCCAGCCCTGGAAACACCTTGACCCCCTCCTGGAAGCTGCGCGCCTTTGGCCTCCCGGTTGTTCTTTTAAGCTCTCCCTCCTCCGTCGCTCTCGGCGTTGCCCGTTTAAGGCCGCCTCGGTAGGGCGTGCGGGGCGGAGGCTGGGCTTGCCGGATCCGAAAGACAGAGGGGAGGGGAGGGATCGACGAAGGCAACGTCTCGCCGGCAGGATGGCGGAGAAACGCGTGTCCCGCTGGTACTTCGGGGGCCTGGCCTCTTGCGGGGCGGCGTGCTGCACGCACCCGCTGGATTTAATCAAGGTGCGTCCGGCCAAAGGAGGGAAGCAAGGAAAGGAGGACTCTGACTTATTTGGTCGCTTGCTTGTCCCGCAGCCGATGTACAGCAGGCTGCGGTAGGGCTAACTAAGGTCTTCCCGGCAGTTGCGGTACTTCCTTGATCAGTTCAGGAGGCGGATGGCCGGAGGCGGATGTAATGGTTGCCCAGCTGATATTTTGGCGCCCTTTAGTAGAATATTTGTAGCTGGGGTTGACATGAGAGGTCCTTGGGGCTCCCTGAGCTTGCTTGTTTTCTTGCAGATGTTTTTCGACCCTAACTAGGTAACGTCATCAGTGTTAGTAAGGGGGTGCTGTTTTCTGTCAGTTTATATTCTGCTGACTAGCTTGTCAGAGCTGCCTGCTTCCATTCATCTCTTTGCTGTACAGAAATCCCCAATTTGCCTATGTGAGAGGCCAACAACAAGGAGAGCTGAACTCTTACCCGTGGCTGTGATGCGATGCTGGGGCTCCCTCTTATTTGGCGATACGAGCTTTTCTTCCAGAAAGTCTTGGCCGAGGAGCTTTAGCGAGGAATTTGAAAGTGCCTTCAAGTTGTGGCAACGCCAAAATCGAGAGCATTAAGGCAAAGAAATATGTTCCTCTCCTTTTTAACATTTGTGTAGCTTTTCTACTTCCCACAATGCTTTAATAGTGATAAAATTGGGCAATACTTTCTTGCTTCAACTGCCAGAGAGTTGTTGGACTAGGTCATTGACTAAGGACTTCTGAAAGAACTTTTCAACTTTTCTGATCTAATTAATGTACTAAATTATTTCTTCACAAAGCAACAGATCTTGGTACTACCTGTAGTTTTAATGACTGCAACTTAATAACTGCAATTGAGCCCAAAATTTCTGTTGCTAAGCGAGACATTTGTAAAGTGAGTTTTACCCCATTTTACAACCTTTTTTGCCACAGTTGTTAAGTGAATCACTGCAGTTGTTAAGTTAGTAACATGGTTGTTAAGTGAATCTGGCTTCCCTATAGACTTTGCTTGTCAGAAAATCACAAAAGTGGATCAGGTAACATTGTCATAAATATGAGCCAATTTCCAAGCGTTTGAATTTTTATCATGTAACCATGGGAATGCTGCAACAGTTGTAAGTGTGAAAAATGGTCAAGTCCTTTTTTCAGTGCCATTGTAATTTTGAACAGTCACTAAACAAACTGTCATAAATTGAGGACGACTGGGATTTTTAGTAGTCCTCGGTCATTTTTTTTGGCTTGGAAACTTTATTGCATGATTGTGAGAGTCATCTTCCTGTCTTTGCATACAAGCCTCAGTTTAGTCGATATACCAGAATTGCACCTATAGCATTTCCCCTTGAAATACAGGTAGTCCTCGACTTACACAGTTCATTTAGTGACTGTTCGGCACTGAGAAATATGTCTTATGAACATGTTTCACAGTCACGACCTTTGCAGCATCCCCATGGTCATATGATCAAAATTCAGATGCTTGGCAACTGACTCATAGTTATGACCATTACTGTGTTCCAAGGCCCCCGTGATCCACCTTTTGAAACCTTCTGACAAGCAAAGTCAATGGGGAAGCCAGATTCACGTAACAACCAGGTTATTAACTTATCAACTGTGGTGATACGCTTAACAACTGTGGTCATAAAATGGGGCAAAACTCACTTAACAAATGTCTCAAGAACAGAAAATTTGGGCTCAGTTGTGGTTGTAAGTCAAGGACTGCCTGTAAAAGCAAATTAAGAGGATACAGTTAGGAAATATGTAACTTGTATGGGGAGGAAGTTCTTTGAATTGTAGATTTATTAATCATGTTTTTTAGGAGTTGGTGTTTAAACCATCTGAAGAGTAACAAATTGCTGCTCTTCAGGTTGCTTATATGATAAAATTTTATCTTTAGAAGATGAGGTGAATTTCAGAGCATGATAGTTTGTAGCCCTGTCTACGTGGCATTCTAAGAATGGTTGTTCTTAAGGCTGCCTGTTGTTGGGTTTTTTGGCCATGCTTGCCAGAAATTCAGGTACTTGTAACCCCAAAGCCTATGGAGGGCAACAGGCTGCAGAAGACTGAGTGAACAACAGTGGTATCCATAGCAGAACATTAACCATGCTGGTAATAGCTCTAGTATTTTCTTGGGACACTGATCAAGGTCAACCCATAGAAAAGAATAGAGATGGCATAAATTGGCCAGGCTGTTCAATCTGTTCAAGGCAGTTTGCTTTGGAACAGGTGCTTTGAGGGCTTTGCACTTTCCATCTCTAGCCTCCAGAGCGTTTCCAGATCAAACCTGTTCTATAATCTCACTCATGCTTTCCTCTTCTCAGACATTTGGCACACTCAAATGTGGTCTGTGTGGAGGAAAGTTCCATTTGCTTGTCATTGCCAGGCTGTTGGCACCTTCAAGTCAGCACAAAGGTGCTAACTCCTGCAAAATTCCTCTTCTTCCTACATGTGTTCTCTCTGGCTAGCTGCTTGAGGAGCAAATTCCAATGTCATGCTTTACAATAGATACTTGAACTATCATTAAAAAAAATTAGTACAATGTCCATCTTAGTCAGAGCTAACTTTTCATTGCCCTCTCCTGACAGCTGATACTTCTGTAGCTTCATCTAATACAGGGGTCTTCAAACTTGACAGCTTTAAGACTTGTGGACTTCAACTCCCAGAATTCCTTCTCCAGTCATGACGGCTCAGGAATTTTGGGAGTTGAAGTCCACAAGTCTTAAACTTGCCAAGTTTGAAGACCCTTGATCTGATATATATTCTCAGTACAGGCTACTTCAAGACATTGATTAGTTAAAAGTGGTTGTACTAGATATTACTCTTAATTGATGAACCAAAACTGATAAATGTCTCAGGGTTGCATCCGAGTGCCGCTTCCCAGCTACTCATTGGGCTTTCTGTCCTTAGGACTCCTCTTATACTGGGTGGAATGGAAGAACGTTTGTGCTGCTAGACTGAGAGTGCGTTTTCTCCTGGCATCTCACAGTACATACCATATATTCACCTCCTTGTCTTGTCCAACTCTTCTCCTTCTTCAGCAGGGTTTTCCAACCCCTGGGCCATGGCCCACTACCAGGCCGCTGTTCGAAACTAGGGCGTGGGGAAGATTGGGCAAGTGCTAAGGCAAGAAGCTTTACTCACGTGAGGGGTGGGCAAGTGCGTGCATGGGCGAAGCTCTGCTCGCACACATGGAGTTGTGTGTGCATGTGCGACACACACACACACACACACACACAATCGTGCCACTCCGCCAAGCTGGAAAGGTTGGGAACTGCTATTCTACAGGAGGAAGAGTAATCAGCAAGCCAAACAGCCCTGCTATGTTGTTTGATTAACTTTTGGGGCCTTTCACCTAGAACTTCTGTATGGTTGTATTATTAACTTGAGTTGTTCCATAGCAGCACAGGATATAATAATTATCTGGGAGCAACTTTTAAGTTCCCTGCTGCAGAACTGGATAGCTTAACAAGCTCTCCTGTGCAAACCTTGGGGTCCTTTGCACTGGCTGAAAGATGTGCTGTTAGCTTTTCACTATTAAAACATCCAAAGTTAACTGCTAATTAGATATGCAGTGAGGAATGCAGGACAGAGCTCTGTTAAAAGAAGAAGAAAGGTGAAATTGGAATGGTTGTGGCTGAGAGTTAAACCTTGGTGCTTCTGGCTAGATCGGGCATGTCCAACCCACAGGCTGCATGCAGCCCTGGAGAGCTAGGAATATGGCCCTACAAGGTAGTAAACCTTTAACACTATTATGTAAGTTATAACTATAATATATATTTTAAATGTGGTCCAAGACAATCCCTCACTTAATGCTGTCTAGACAACCCAAAAGGTTGGAAACCCATGGGATAGATATTTCCATTTGAACAGTCAACAAACCCTGTTAGAGAGGAAGGAAAGGAATCCAAATGTTTTTATCATAAATTTCTAGATCAAAGGTATTAGTTGTTATGTGAAACTGGAAAGACCAGTCATAGCTTCTGGGAATCTTTTGTCTTTAGGGCCAGGGCAAAATGTCCTCTTTAAGCATGAGCGAGTGGAATGCAAGCCCTGTTAATCCTTTGAGTACAAAGTTCAAAGTGAATGTTAATATGAGCTTGTGGGACCTTGTGATAGAGGCAGTCTTATGGGCTTCTTGCATCCAGAGTGTTTCAGTGCCTTATTTGGCCTGGGATGCCCCTCAGCAAATGAGATCCAGAAAACGTCAACTTGACCTATCTGCCACTTCTCCTTAGGTTCATCTGCAAACTCAGCAGGAAGTGAAGATGCGCATGACGGGGATGGCGTTACGTGTGATTCGCAATGATGGCTTTCTAGCTCTCTACAACGGGCTCAGTGCCTCGCTTTGCCGACAAGTGAGTGTTTTGGCTGCTGCTAAAATGGCTTGCCTCATCACCTGCCATCCTACTCGTTGTGTCCTGTGCCAGTTTGTTGCTTTCATCATCGGCAATGAGAATTCTGCACTTCCGTCCTGCATTCTCTCCCAAAAATCCACGTTGAGCATTCCGATGACATTCAAACTCCCAACCAGGCACTTATGAATTTTATGCACCCCCTGAAATTGTAACAAAATGTCAGTAAAATACTAATGATGGAAAATAGAATAGTGTTGACTACTCAAAACCATATTGGTAAACCAGGCAAACTAGGTATGGAAATTTCTGAAACAAACCCGCGTGTTTCCACAGTTTAGTAGAATATGTGCAGATGGGAAATCTGTGTGGTTTCAGAGTTTAGTAGGTAATACGTGTAGATGGGAATGAACTAGGAGCTGCTGCAATTAATTGTTTCCACTTCATAATATTTTGAGAGTGACAGCTTTTTCCTTCTGCACCTTAAGATCTTGGTTGGTTTTTTTTTTTTTTTTTTTTTTCACATACTACATAAACATCCTGCAGAGGGTGATTCTGCAGCCTAAATCAGTCATTCTGTATGATGCCAGTTGTAATGCTGGTGTTTGTGATTTTTGTCATTAAGCAAGATCTGAGGGGGAAAGGTAGGTTCACTTGCAGTCACACTTGCCATATATTTTTACACACATGACAAACGTAGCCGGGGTGACTTTTTTTAAAACAACATTAATACAAAAAACTGCAGGCAACTCTGTTTTTTTTCATCTTTTCACTCGGTTTTTTTTCCATCTTTTGGTGGGAAGGATGTTAGGGTACAGAAGTAGAATAGGCATGTCACACTTGCTTAATAAACTTAATTTGCTTGTGCTTCTATTTACAAATAGCTAAATGTTATTGCTGCCCAATTTGAGCCCTGCAGTTAGGAGGACAGGTAAAGGAGGAGAGGGAAGAGATTGCGTGTGGCCTGTGAACAATGCGTATTTGTGATTCTGATGAGCAGTTATCCCAAAGGTGCTTTTTCAGGAGTCCACTGGACTTTCTTGTTTTTTCTTTGAAGACGTTTCGCTTCTCATCCAACATCTTAAAAGGAAAAAAACAAGAAAGTGCAGTGGACTCCTGAAAAAGCACCTTTGGGACAACCATGACCTGGATTACTGAGAATCTCCATAGACTGATAAAGCAGTTGCCGCTTCCTCTTGTGACTCTTTCTGCTTCCTCAGATGACGTACTCTCTCACCCGCTTTGCCATCTATGAGACGGTGCGAGACAGCTTGAGCCAAGGGGCCCAGGGGCCAATGCCCTTCTACCAGAAGGTGCTGCTCGGTGCAGTAGGAGGTGAGCTGGGCCTTGGCAAGTACAGAAACAAGGGTGAGGTCCTATCCGTCTGGGCAGCCCTTTTTCATCGGCTGTCTCCTTTGGTTGCAGGATTTACCGGTGGATTCGTGGGGACCCCGGCTGACATGGTGAATGTCAGGTCGGTTTTTCCTTCTTCTCCCCCAGAACTCAGTGGATTAATCTTCAAGAGTGTCCCAAATTGGAGGGAGAGAAAGGGATTTTATTTTGCCAAGAGCAAGGTTACAATTTGGGTGAAATATGAACTCTTAGCATTCTGTATACTGGTGTCTCTACTTCTTAACATCGTTTGGAGCAAACAGAGCTATACTTGGTGGGGTGTTTGAAGAGAGAGTGGTTCCCCCCCTCCCCACGCCTCAATACTGTTCTCATGTTCTTTTCCAGGATGCAGAATGACATTAAGCAGCCGGCACATCTGCGACGCAAGTGAGTATCGGGGCTGTAGTCAGATGCAAAAAGTGAACAAATATGGGAAGGCAAAGAAGAGCACTGGGGGAAGAAAGGGCTATGAGGCCTGTCTCCATTTAAAAAAAAACTCTCTTGAATATGCAGGACCACAGAGGGACAAAATTGATCTTCAGATGTCCATTCCCACAAAGCTAAGATCTCTTTTAAATTGGTGGCAATCTCACTACAAATGCCCAAGTCCCATCTGTCAGAGCCGTCAGACAGAAAATGGGATTAAAAGTCTTTGATAGTAGCCAGCTGAGGTAGTGAGCGCTTGTCAGAATTACATGGATATTGATGAAAGCTGTTGATTATCTCGTCGTGTTTTCCAGCTACTCCCATGCCTTGGATGGCCTGTATCAGGTGTTTCATAAAGGTAAGAATGTAGTCAGTACAGCTGAAATATATTGTGACTCTCGGAGACCCTTTGTTGAATTAAGTTTACCTGAGGGGGGAAAGAATCCATTGAGCAGAACACTATAGTAGAACTTGTGGGCAAGTAGTTCCCCCCCCCCCATGGAGGGCTACATTATGACTTATGTGGGTCTTAGGCACTTTTCTCTTTGCCCCTTTCTCTAGAATAGGGGTGGGGAACTATGGCCCTTTTACGATTTGTGGACCCCCAGAATTCCTGAGTCAGACAAACTGTTCAGTTCAATTCAATGTGTGGAGTGTGAAGGATGTGTGTTTGTGTTTATTTTCCTGGTCATGATGTGCACTGAAGATGGTGTTTGATTTCGTTGTACGAGGTGCAATGACAATAAAGTAAACTAACTAACTGTCTCAGGAATTCTGGGAGTCGAAGTCCACAACTCACAGAAGGGGCCATAGTTCCCTACCTCTGGTGTAGAAAAATAATGCAGATAGCCCTCACTCTGATAATTGGGACCAGCAACTCTGTCGCTGAGTGATGTGAGTGTAAAGCATGATGTCATGTGACTACGTCAAGTTACAGCAGCAGTTGCGGCAGTTCTGTTTGCAACTGTTAAGCGAATCCTGCATGGTTGTGAAGCATGACACCATGTGATCGTCATCTGAGACCTCCTGCCACTTTTCCCACTGACTTTGCTTTTGGGAAGCCAGCAGTGAAGGTCACCAATGGTGATCACCTGACCACAGGGCACTGCAACGGTTATCATTGCACACTGGTTGCCAAGAGTCTGAATCATGATCATGTGACTGTGGGGATGCTGTGATGGCCACAACAATGAGGAATGGTGGTAAGGGTTCCTTGTTCAACTCCATCAAATGATTGCTGAACAAGCGATTGTTTGTTAAACAAGGACTACATATTTCATGTGATTTTTAATATTTTATGGTATACTTTCCTCTTATAACTTCTGATGATTTAATGTAACAAACCTGTGAGAATTAAATTTTCTTGGTAGCATTTAATGTATGATTAAGCTTTTAATTTGCATTCTATTATATATTTATACTATGTATATCTTCAAAAGTGAAAGGCGAGATAGGAAATTTCTACTTCACTTTTATTCTTTCTGTGTTAAAAAGAATTATTAATTTTTTGTGAACCTTAGGCACTGTGCCTCTTGTGCCTAATGGGTGATCAGTTCCACTGTCTACAATTTTCAGTAATCCAGCCAGTGGAGGTGGGTGCAGGAGCCCAGTATGTGATTGTTGGGGTTGCCCCATCTTGGTGGTCTTATATCTTCTCTCTTTTCAATTGGAGGTTGATCCTTAAGGATCAGTGATGCTTCTAGTTATAGGTAGTCCTCAAATTACAACCACAATGGAGTCCCAAATTTATGTTGCTAAGCAAGGCAATTGCTAATTGAGTTTTGCCCCCATTTTATGACCTATTTTGCCACAGTCATTGAGTGAATCATACAGTTGTTGAGTGAATCATGTGGTCGTCAGGTTTCTCCTTGCCAGGTGCAGAAGGTAAAGATCAAAGCTCTTCTTAAGGTCCAGATTGTGGTTCTTCAGGACGGAACAATCTTTCTCCAAACACCTTCCAGGTGTTTGATTTGAATTGTCTGATTTATAGCCTGCGTAGTCCTAGATGACAGCTGGTATCCCATTCAAATCTCACTTTGAAGCCAGAAGTGAGAATAGCTTGTTTTGCTCACGGATATTAGCTCTCAGTTGGAGCGCGATGAACGTGAAATTTGTCAGGGTTATTTTTGAAACTGAACTCATGGCAGAGCATCTAAAATGCTCTTGTATTAGCCTTTGCTAATCTTTGCTATGGTTAGATTTCACCCGCAGGCATCTTATAGGATCTTCTCTTGATCTTCATCAGCAGATGTACTTCATTGTGGCTACGTTCACTGAGGCATCTTTCTTTTCAAACACAGCTGTCTAACCCTTTTTATAGCCATTATATCTGGCCTGGGATGAGTATTGCTGATGGGTTTATTCTGCTCTCCAAGTGTTTTCATAAACATAAAATGGGAGTAATAGAAGGTACCTGTTCTTGAGGGATGCCTTGTGGGGTGGGGGAGTTGCACAGGATAAGCAGAAAACACAGTTAAAATGGAATCCCTATTCTGTAAATTCCAGGCTTTTGTCTTTGCAGAGGGTGTGAAGAAGCTGTTCTCGGGAGGAACAATGGCATCCAGCAGAGGAGCCTTGGTTACCGTTGGACAGGTAGGAATCCAGAGTCAGTGTTGCCTGTGATCCACCGCTGAATATAATAAATAAGTGTGTCCATGTAAACCAGGGATGTCAAACTAGTGGCCTGCGGGCTGAATGCGTCATGCACAGGCCACACCCACCCCAGCTCCACGAAGGGGGAAAACGTCACGAAACATCACGTGACGGCAATGTCACACTGCGGGTTTAACACCCGTAATCTAGGCCAAAAACATACAGGTAGTCCTCAACTTACAACAGTTCATTTAGTGACCATTCAAAGTTACAATGGCACCGGAAAAAGGGACTTATGACCCTTTTTCATAGTTACAACTTTTGCAGCATCCCTATGATCATGTGATCAAAATTTGGATGCTCGGTAACTGCCTCATATTTATGACGGGTGTAGTGTTCCAGGGATCATGTGATAACCTTTTGCGATCGTCTGACAAGAAAGTCAGTGGAGATTCACTTAACAACCATAAGTTTTTAACATAAGTTAAAAACTGCAGTGATTCACTTAACAACAGTGGCAAGAAAGGTCATAAAATGGGGCCAAAACTCATTTAACAACTGTCTTGCTTAAGAACAGTAATTTGGGGCTCAGTTGTGGCTGTAAGTTGAAGACTAATTGTAGATACACGTGCACACATTCATAAACACAAAGAGTGTGCAAAGTTCAGGGACCTGGAACAGAATATTTGAGGGAACCCCAGAATACCCTGGTCCCCAGAATACTCGTGCCAATCCAGGGGCAAGATCCACTTTGGTCTAATCATAGTTAAGGCACCAGGCTAGATACCAGGAAACTGTGAGTTCTAGTCCTGCCTTATGCATCAAAGCGGGTTGGGTGATCCTGGGCCAATCCTGCTCTCGACCCAATCAAGGGTGGTAGTTGTGGGGAAAATAGGAGGTGGCAGGAGTATTAGGTATGCTCATCAGCTTAAGTTACTTATAAAAAATAATAAAGGTGGGATAAATATTGATGGTTTCCGGAAATAAATTTCCTGGGAGTGGTTCAAGATCCTCTGAGTATGGCATTAGGGCTGCTGGGACACTTTGAACATGGGATTGAGTCAGAAAACTATGAAGTTGCTTTCAGAATAGCTCAGTTGACAAGTGCTGAATATTCCACGGTTTCCATGCTGCCTGTTTCCAAACCGCTTAATTGTACATATCTTAGCAAATGTACCTCTAGATTCATTCATGTGTGTCTTATGAATTTTTGCCACTTTCCTGTAACAATCTTGGCTACATTAAGATCACAGGGTGGTGGTGGGGGTGGGGGAAGTTTTATTAATTTTCTTGATGTAATTGCTGCAGTTGGGGTTAAAAGTTAAAGCCCTCCACACTCCGCCTGCCCCCTCTGGCCTTAGCATGGTTACAGCAGGAGCTAGGTCAGTGGTTCCCAAACTTTTTCGGTCCACTGCCCCCTTGGTGCTACAAACTCATCCTCGGTGCCCCCCACCCAGGGGTGGGATTCAAATTTCTGTGGGTGTGGCTTAATTTGAGGGTGTGGTTTGCTGGTCACATGACTGGGTGGGTGTGGCTTGCTGGTGGGCGTGGCCAGGTGACTGGCAAACCAAATACAAGTGGTCCTCACTTAATGACCGGTTGTTTAGCAAGTGTTCTAATTTATGACTGGCCTCCCCAGAGCTATTTGACCAGTTTTTGGAGTTTTGACAGCTTTAGATCAGGGGTCTAAATCCCACCCCTGCCTGTGTGTGTGAGAGAGAGGGAGAGAGAGAGGTTGGATCAGATCTCTCTCTCTCTCTCCCACCAACGCCAGAAAGCCACCGTCAGTCAAAATTCATATTAGTGGTCTCTGGGATTTAAAATTATGAGTTTGGTGGTCCTCGAGGTCCAAAAGTTTGGCGACCCCTGATCCAAAGGGATGAGCCTGAGAGAGGGAAAGAGAGAGAGAAAAGAAAGAGAAAAGGGAAAGAAAGAAAAAGGGACAAAGAAAGGGTGGGTGGGTGGAAGGAAGGGACAGAAAGAAACAGAAATGAGGGAGGGAGGGAGGAGAAAGATAATGAGATATCTATTCTAGTCCAATCACCTGCTCCAGCAGGGTTAGAAGGGAGTTGGTGTGGGTTTGTGTGTGTTCTCCTTGTAATTTACCAGTACATTTTGGTTTTACCTTCTTCAGAATTGGCACTGTAATACATTGGGGAAAAGTAATTTTTAGGGTGGAGATCTGGTCCAATGGATCCTGTTTAAAGCCTCAACAAAATGTGAGAGCTTCCTGATAGTCTTGGCCATGTTTTGTCCACAAAACCTTTAATAGAAGCCAAAGAGGTTTCAATGTGCTGGCAAAGATGTTTCAGTGTGGAAAAGGGCCTCAGTCTAAACTAGGCCTCATTAAATCTGATGCATCAGGTCTCTCTCTTTCTCTCCCTCCCTCCCTCCTTCCCTCCCTCCCTCCCTCTCAGACTGGCTTTGCTCTACTTTCCCAATGTGCCTACGGGGCTGGCGCTTCGAACATGGATGGATGGATGGATGGATGGATAGAGAGAGAGAGAGAGAGACAGACAGGCAGGTAGGCAGGAAGGCAGGCAGGCAGGCAAACAGACAGACCTTTTGGATGGATGGATGGATGGATGGATGGATGGATGGATGGATGGATGGACGGACAGACAGACAGAATGCGACAGCGGCGGCACTTTGGGAAAACGGTGGCAGCAGCTTTTCCCAATGTGGCCGCATTCGAGGCACCGGTTCTGGAGCATTACTACAGTCAATGGGTGAACCTGCAGGGCCGGCGCCTCGAACGCCCCCCTGCCACCCCTTAGCGCCCCTCTGCCAGCCCCCTTGGGGACACTAAGAGGTGGCAGGGGGATGGTGCATTGAACGCTGCCACGGCGGCACATAACAAGCCACCGCTTCCGCATTGGAGGCATTGGTGGGCTGTATAGGTGATGGCCCTTTTCTGCTATGGTGTCTGCCTATGCAGTCTTCTCTACCCTGAGGTAAGGTTGAGCTTCTTGAGGTCCCCCAAAACTTGGTTATGCCAGCAGCTTTGGGGATCCTAGGGGACTACTGAGGTGGCTCCACCTTTCTAAACAACTCATCTACTATTTTTTTATATTAGCTTTTATACTTTTTAATGTATTTAACATATGAACCATCATTGCGCAGTGGTTAAAATGCAGTTGTTGAGGTAATTCCCCATTAGGAGAATGAGCGCATACAGGGAGACGTATTTGAGAGGAATATTTGAATAATACACATACAGCACACAGATACACCGTACAGTAAATGTATGGTTTTACTTTCAATAAAGGTTTAAGCAAAGTTCAAAATAGGCAGTCCAAAGTCATTCACAGGTTAAATCAGTCAGTTTTCAATCCAGGGATGATCCAAATATCAAAGTCCAGTGTCAAAAACAGTTCAGTATCAGACTTACATTAAATCCAGTAATATCAGTCAATTAGAAGAAATGGAGCAACGGCAATACTTTCCAACAGAAGGAAACAGAGATTGAGACACACTCTCTTCTGAGATTAAGACTAAGACTAAAACAACCCAGGTTTCTGGCTCCATCTTATGGCCGTTTGAGTAACCACACCCAATTGCAGTTTTTAGCATGCTCTTAAAGAGACAGTATTAAAATGTCTATCCTGGTTTATATATTTCTAACCCAAATTAACAGCAGTACTGCAGGGCTATCTCACTGCTCACTCCAGGAGTTCAATTCTGACCGGCTCAAGGTTGACTCAGTCTTCCATCCTTCCATGGTCGGTAAAATGAGAACCCAGATTGTTGGGGGCAATAGGCTGGCTCTGTAAACCACTTAGAGAGGGCTATACAGCACTGTGAAGTGGCATATAAGTATAATAGGTATATAAATCTCAGTGCCATTGCTGTTTATTAACTGTTTTTAGTTCTGTTGTACGCTGCCCAGAGTTGCTTGTTTGTGAGATGGGTAGCTATATATAATTTGGTTTAATTAATAAATAAAATAAATACTCAATATTTCTGTTCTCCTTCCGGATTTTAAATTGGCAACTGGTCAGCCATTATGGAAATTTTGGAGCCACTTTTGATCAAGCAAAGCTCTTTCTTAGATTCTTATATTGTACAGCAATAGCACTCAGACTTATATACTGCTTATATTTATATTTATATACTGCTTCACAGTGCTTTACATCCCTCTCTAAGCGGTTTTATAGAGTCAGCATATTGCCTCCAACAATCTGGGTCCTCATTTTACCGACCTTGGAAGGATGGAAGGCTGAGTCAACTTTGAGCCTGGTGACATTTGAGCTGCCAAATTGCGGGCAGTCGGCAGTCAACAGAAGTAGCCTGCAGTACTGTTCTCTAACCACTGCACCACCAGGGCTCCGTGTTCTTATTAAATTCTGAGAGGATGGTATCCCATAGTGGCCAGAAATGAGTAGCCATATAACTCTGGCTTTCCTACTTAGGATATTTAAAGTATCTTAAGCTTCTTTCTTCTTTTCTCTGTTTCTCATCCAATAAGACAACATTTCACCAACTAGCCAAAATCCTTTGTATTCTGTCTGCGTTTCTGGGACTGCAAAAAAAAAAAAGTGGAAACTGGAGAAGGTTACAGGAGGAGAAAGGTTATCCTTTGAGGAGGATATGTACTACTCCTTTTCTGTGGGGAATTATCTCTGTATGATGACATCACCCTGGGGAAATTGTGAGGCCACAAAAGGGTTAGGGAATGTAATCTCAACAGCTCAGTCACCTCTTGGTGTGATGTTTAGTTTTTTAACAACTGCAGACCTCTGGCACCTTTGTTTTTATGGTAGTTCCACTGCAAAAGGAGAGGCTCTTCACAGATCCATTAAGGGCTCCAAACCAAAAACCCATAAATTCATAATGGGGGTGCTTGGTGTCCTCATTCTACCTGATCCCTTGGGGTTTAGCTGAAGTTTGAGCCCAACTTCTTAGTTTCCAAATCTGCTCATGATGCTCACAAACAGCCTTATTATTTTTCATTTCTTTGCAGCTCGCTTGCTATGACCAGGCAAAGCAGTTGGTTCTTGGGACCGGTTTACTCGCTGACAATATTTTTACTCATTTCCTGGCCAGTTTTATTGCCGTATGTATATATTTGTGTTGGTGCAAAGTCAGCTAGGGTGTGTATTTGTGTGCCTTTGTAAGAGTTCTTGCTAGTTAGACTAACGTTCAAGGGTTGCTCTGTTCCAGTTCCTTAGAAAGGTGGAGTACAGCTTATGTCCTGGAACTGGCAAGGCTGGGAGTAGGCTGGATTGCTGCATACATGATACATCCAGGTCTTTTTTGCATGTTCTGTGCACTTTGTTCCCGCATTTCAATTTTAAGAGGAAAATGTCTGCTGATTAAGTAAAATCACATTGTAAGGTTAAGGTGGTAGATGAATATCTGCACACAGGTGGTGGCTCACCAAAGCAAATAAAACACAGAAGCATTGCTATTTTCCCCTTATCTGATGCTTTAAAAGTATGCAAGGTCTAAATGTCATACTTGATGGGATACTTTGACATAACTATGGATCAAAAGCATAGACCCAAATCTTCCTTATTTTAAACAGCTGCTAAAGTTCACCTGCGATATCCACATAGTTTGCAAAGCTATGTTTTGTTTAACCAAGCTTTATTAAATGAACTATTGTCTGGAGTAACATTATGCTCTAAGGCTAGACAAGAAATTGGCAATTAACGTCCCATTTTTTTCAGGCTTTGGAGCCCCCCTCCCCCCCAAAAAAATCTGGATTTCTGAAAACAAGGGATGTTTTTTGCCATTTTAACTAGAAAACAGGTGAAAATTAAGAGCAGTTTAACTATGGTCCTTCTCCACCCAAAAGTGCTCATCTGTATCAGAATTCATGGTTTATTTGCAAATTGATAAAGGCAAAAGAAAGGTCATTGAAAGGGAAGGGTAACTTCTAGAGACAGTGCCACATACTTTACATAAGAAATGGGGTTTCCAGATGACTTCAAAGACAAAAAGATTAGCTGTCAGGGTGGCTGTCCCAGGCAATGAGCTCAGACTACCAGGAGGCTCTAGAGCAGAGATTATTCAAACTTGGCAATTTGAAAACGTGTAGACTTCAGCTCCCAGAATTCCCTAGTCAGCATGGTTGTCCGGGGAAATCTGGGAGATGTCAAGTTGCCAAGTTTGAAAGACCCTGCTCCAGAGGGCAACAGCATTTCTGATTCTTCTATAAAAGATCATGCAATAACTCCAGAAGCTCTAACTTGCTTGGGATGATGTGAGTTGTAATTGAACACATCTGAAGGGGGTGAAGTCAGAGAAGACTTCTTTTCCATTTTAAGCCTGTCTAACCGATTGTCTTTTAGTTTCATGCAACTGGATGGCTGTAATGGCCTACCTAAGTGAAAAGACTTTTCCCATTTCCAATGAGGCAGGAGAGATGTGGCGCATTGGGCATACCCATTTGGTATAAACTTGGCACAAGCCATTTCTCCCCCATGCAAAGTCTCAGATCAATCTGAATCTGTTTTGTCATCCTTCTTTTTTATGAACTGCAGGGAGGATGTGCTACATTCCTGTGTCAGCCCTTGGATGTGCTAAAAACGCGACTTATGAATTCCCAAGGCGAATATCGGGTGAGTGATTGGTTTGCCATGACTGCCAGCTTTCTGATTCGTTAGAGAGCAGGTGCTCAGACTAAACACCAGTGGCTAGCTGTTGCTGTCTTTGCCACTCAGCATCACAGCCCTGTGATTTCAGCATTGGTCTGTTCTTGAATTTCATTAAACAGCTAGAGATGAAACCTTGTGAGGATCTGGGTGGGTTCTGGAGATGGAGTCAAATCAGCATGCACTGAGTTCTTCCCGTTTTGTTTCAGGGTGTCATGCACTGTGCAGTGGAGACGGCCAAGCTTGGGCCATTGGCTTTTTATAAGGTAATACAGGAAAGATGGGAGCCACAGTCAGTAATCATGGCATATAGATCAAACAGGAGCAAAGGAATTTGCGCAGAATTTCTGATATCCCTGTGCATTCCTGTCCTAGCAAGTGTGGCCTCCATATTGTTTCTGTCTGATTGTTTACCTTTATCAAAACATGCAAGGTGGCCTCCCTCTTTTCTCTCCAGCGCTTAGCCATTGGTGGCAACTAGCCTGAGGCTAAGACCTCCGATTATTGGTTTAGGGCTGCTACCCAGTTATAGACAAGACACAGGGGAGCAAAATATGCAATAAGTAGAATAACAAGAGTTGGAAGGGACTTTGGAGGTCATCTAGTCCAACCCCCTGCTCGAGCAGGAGAGTCTACTCCAGATATCAGCCTCTATCTAGGATCGAACTCACAGCCTCCTGATTGTGAGGCAAGAGCTCCACCTCTGGGCCACCATAGTTTGTCTTAGCAAGGAGTCCTCGTGTGTCATATGCCTTTTGATTCCTAGTCCTACCTTGCCTTCTTATGTCAGTGTGAATTGGAGAAGGCGTGACCTACTGTATGCAGCTGAAACTCCACCGTGGGACAAAAGTTGATTCCCCCTCCCCTTTTTTTTCCCCTCTTCCAGGGCCTTGTTCCTGCCGGCATTCGCTTGGTCCCTCATACTGTGCTCACCTTTGTCTTCCTGGAGCAACTTCGCAAATACTTTGGGATTAAAGTATTAACCTAAGGGAGAAGAGACCTGTTAGAGTAAAAAAAGATGGGGAACAGGGACTACAGACTCCCAGAATGGCTGGGTGTCATATTCTTTCCCTCCTTGAGGAGCAGGTATCCCCTTCGATGCCAGGGCACTGTCTGACATCTCATAGAAAGTCCTTGTTTGGCATCTGCTCTTGGCCAGCTCTTCAATAGGGTTGGGTGCCTACTAGTGGAGTAGCCCACTAGGATTTTCATTGACCAATCCCAAATGCCTCTCTTCTCTGCCCATCAGCACCCAGGACCTTTTCAGTGTTGATGGCTTGCTGATACCACAGCATTCCTCATCAACCTCCAACCTCTCCTTGCCATAATAGCCAGCATTCCAATAGCCATGTCTGATTTTTTTTCTTACTAACATGCTTTCCTTTTGTGCTGTCAACAGGCATGTGCCTCATTCAGAAGCCTCCCCGCCCCCCACCGCACACTTTTCATTGCTCTCCTAGTCTCCTGCCATACCCTTCCCATCTGTGTGGGGATTCCTTTCTCCCCAAGCGGAAGGGTGTTGGCCCTTATGTGGGAGGGAAATATTTCATCACAAGTTTGTCTCAGTTCTAAATGTTACAATAAGGGGCTGGAAAAGGGTTCTGGTGGCTGCTGTGGGCAGTTGATAGCAATATCAGGCAGGCAGGGGCCTTGACATTGCAGGGTCTCCAATTATTATTCAATAATGTGGACAGGACAATGCTTTTCTCACTCTGTCTTGCCTGCTCCCATTCTCCTACCTCAGTCTTCTTTTACTCTTAGGGCTGTAGTCCAAGGAACAAGCAGTCCTCTGTCTTTATTTCCTGGGATTGTGGTATTGGGCAAGTAATGTCCTTCCACACACCCCAGTCCGTAGCCAGTCTAATATCACTCTTCTCCTTCAATTGCCTCCTTAAGCTTCTTCAACCAAAACCTTCTGAAACCAAAGGGCCTTATGCTGATGAGAGACTGCCTGGAAACTCCTATCTAAGAGGGAACAGGTTTCCTGAATGCATATATATATCTTCTCCCATCCTGTGAATGGGCAGTGCAGCTGCCCACTTACATTCAGAGATGGGAGGTAAAACTGGAGAGGCCTTGTGAGGTCCTTGGAACAATTAAAAAAAAGAATAGCCTAGCAAATGGGCTCCTTATTGTCCCTGTGGGATAGAGGCTTTGGTGTTAAATCAGAAGGGCACCAATTTTTTAGAGTAACCACAATATATTTGTTTGTCAAGCTTTTATCCTGAGCCTTTTTGGTACCACTGGAAGAAGCATCAAAGGCTGTGAAATCTTCCCAGATTGCCTTGCTCTTACTGTGACATCATCCAGATCCTACTGTAACATTGATGTATTCTTTGTTTAATGAAATAATTTGTGGGCATCTATTGATTTTATCCTCCACCAGTCTGTGGAAGGGCTCCTGGCCACATTCAGCGTGTCATTTTGGGGGAGGGGGGGGGTTACCTTGACAATTGTAGAATCAGAGCCAGTGATCAGCACTTTAGGAATCATGAAAATAAAGTGATCATGCAAAGCAGGTGTTATTTATTTCTGGATCAGCGAACAATCTTATATACTGCCATGTCACATTCCAGAATTGAAGCTGTAAATACTTGGAGCAATAATTGTACAATTGTAGAGAGAAGTGAGTGGTGCAACTGGATTGGCAACATGGATTAATTTTCCACAGGAATTAGTTTTCAAAACTGCAGGCATGTTTTGAGAATTTATCTTTCTATGTGATTTTTAATATTTGGATCATAATTTCACTGAAATTTCACTGTAGTTGTAAGAGGTGGCCTGACAGTAGTGTTACTAATTAAGAACTGGGATATGTGGAATCGTATGATTCATGAAATGTCCCTTTTGACAAATGACCAGTTAGCCAATAATTGAGAAAGGCAGTACAAAAATTTACCCAAGCAGTTAAAGCAATTGTTTTACATGGAAAATAAAAAGAAATAGAAGGGAAGAGCTTATTATGAATGGTATGGCAAAACCTTACAAGGATCCTGATAGCATTTAGCCATTTCTCTTATTGGGACAATTGAACGGATCTGGTTTATCTCTTTATCTCTAAGCTTTCCTTCTCAGAATTTTTCTGTAATTAAAGGAGAAGTTGCTGAAATCTCTACATTGGGTAAGACAAAGTTTAATTCTTCAGGCTTGGCTTTGAATTTGAGCTGCTAGCTCTGCTCTGTGACAGACAGCGGTCAGGATTACTGAGCAGTCCCTTAAATGAGTCCTGAAAAGATAGGGTCGTGGGTACTTCTAATACCCAAGCTGTGCTCCTCAGTCATGGCATCCATGCCCGAACACTGTACAGTCCACAGCTACCACATTGCTGGAAACTTTTGCCATGCCATGGCCACCTCCTGTGTGGCCTGCCTCACAGATGAGTCCAGCAGGCGCTGCCAATTAAACCTGGAGTGAAAGCTCATGTTGGTGAAGTTTAATGATCCTTGGCATAGCATTGTGTTCGAAGTGTGACTGCTTTGAGCAATGATCCAGTGTCAAGGGGTAGAAATATCCTGTAGGACAATGTTTTCAAATCCTGGCAACTTTCAATTCTGGAGTTGAAGTCCAGACATTTAAAGTTACCGTTGTAGGATCTGTTACTGACTGAGGCATCCTAAGGAATAGAAAGGGATCTAGGGAATCAAATTTCCTTTGCAACCATCACGGAATAAGCCCCTGAGTTTTTTGGGAGAATCAGAAAGTACTTTGGTTGCATTGGTTCTGTCACTTTGAATGTTTGGCTCCTCTGAGTACAAAGGAGGATACAAAGGAAAACATGAATATTGTATTCACAAAAGAGGGAAGAAGGGCTTCCTTACCCTGCCCAGCTTTGCACTCCAGTACCGAATTGATGAATGATGCCTCTTAACACTGGAGTCTTTGAGGTGGTGCAGGCACCCTTGCCACTCAGCAGATGGAGCTCAAACATTGACGGCTCCCTCCAGGGTTAGCACCGGAGAGGAAATGTGCAGCTCCTGGTTTTGTTTTCAATTTTCAAGCATTTTTTTGCACATACGTATTGTGGTCTGGATCAGGACAACTCTGCTTGCAACATGATGACAGAGGGAAACTTTCACAGTTCCATGTTCCCTGCAGAAGTTTAGCTCTACAGGGAAGCATGAAGGGATTGTAGCCATCGCCAAGTGTACATGGTACGGCTTTTTTCCCCCCGAGAATTTGGATCATTGCTGTATAGTGTAAATGAATCCTGCTTTAATCTAGCATTTTGTGAGAACTTCTTGTTAGTTTCTGGTCAGTGTGTTTTGAATTCAGAACATTTGAGCTGAGGAAACCGGTTTTGATATGGGTAAAACCCTAGGTTATTCTGTAGATAAATTATGGTTAAATCATGGGTAAGTGCATCATGCAAACACAGCCTACATGCAGCTGTGGTGTGGTGGGTAAATGTATACAGCTGGCCCCTACATACAATTCTGCACTGAACACTCTCCATTGTTGCTAAAAGCTGAGCCCTGTTTGGCTCAGGAGTCCACTCTACCTAAAGCATATGATATGACAATAGAGGGTTTCTGCCTCAGCATAAGATGAGCTCTCAGTTCTTAAGATGGGCTAAGCAATGTGCTGTCTTCAAGGGACAGAACCAGGGAAAGTTGATCCTGCTCACCCCACCCACCCGCATTGGTGGCCGTACCCACAGCTCTTGGATATTCTAAATCTGGAATGAAACATCACTTCAGTTTTTGAAGTCTTTCACCTTGGCACCGAAATATCTTTTGAGATATTCCTTAAGGGGCTTTCTATTAATTATTAATATTATGGGATTAATATGGATCTGATCCTTTGCGGGTGGTTAAGTTGGATTTTAGATTCTGCTCACTGCTGAAATCCCATTTTAAATTAAGCCGAAAGAAAAAAACACTCATTGCCTAGTTCACATACAGTACCTATTATAGCTAAACTACAAGTACTTGTTTAACAACCATTCAAAGTTAAGGTTTGAATGGCACTGAAAAAAAAGTGACTTCTATGGTCCTCACACAACCCTTGCAGCATTCCCACAGTCACTTGATTGAAATTCAGGCACTTCGCAACCACTATGTAGCTACGATGGCTCCAGTTTCCAGAGTCATATTTGTGATAGTTATTTTGCAACCTTCCCAGTTGGCTTCTGACAAAGTAAATGCGGGGGAGCTGGATTTGTTTAACATTTGCAAGATTCCCTTAACCACTTGACAACAGTGGTGGGTTTCAGTTTTTTTACCACCGGTTCTGTGGGTGTGGCTTGGTGGGCATACTTTGTGCGCACACATGCATTTTGCATGCATGCATGCCAAACACGTGCTTCACGCATGCACAAAAGGTTTGCTACTAACCTGCAATCCTGCACTCTCCCTGTGTCTTCAACAGCTGACACGTAGCAATCCGCTGTGCTTGCGCGAAGCAGCCGAGCTTCAAAACCAGGAAATAAAAATCAGTATTGAGCAGGGGTGGGCGGAAGGGCCCAGCAGCTGATTGTTGGAGCGAACCGGTTTGCTCAGATGATCCTCAGAGCTCCCAGTTTGGCTGAACCGGGCCAAACCGGTAAAATATCACCACTGCTTGACAACCATGGCAAAAAAGGTCATAAAATTGGGTGCGACCCAGTTAACAACCTCCTTGCTTAGCAATAGAAATTCTGGTCCCAATTGTGGTTGTAAGTTGAGGACTACCTTTATGGTGCAAACATGCTGACTAAAGAATTTGAATCTAGCTCTAAGGGATCAAGTGGCAAAAAAAAAAAGTCAAATTCCAACTCCTCTCAAAATACCTCTGCTTTCATGGCCATTTCAGTGTGGATTTAATTCAGAAACCGCCATGTAAAGACCTTGGCAGAGAAAGGGATTTTCTGTCACATTCAGATGGCCATTATGGACATTTCTTCCAGGTCACCGTAACTATAAGAAATAGCCTTACGGAGGAGATGCACCTCATACAACTAATTTAATTTCTGAATTTATTGTGGACAGGGGGTGATAGTGGAATGCATGTTGAAAGCAGAGATGGGGGAGACTTAATGTGTGTTACTATGAAAGGTTGAAGGATGAGACATTTTTTTGAGTCCTGATTTTCAAACTCTCCTACGGTGGAGAAACGGATATGCAAGTTCCCTTGGCTAAAAGGTATTTCAGATCCGGATCTTGCTTCATGTTGACACTCCATAAGAATTGCAGAAGATACACACACTATGCGTGACTGTTAATACAATGACATCTCTGGGAACTATTCAACATTTTTGGGTGGGATAAAGTGGCTGCATTAAGCTTTGGTGCTGGTCACAATTGGCAATTTTGTCTGCTCTTTGGTGAGCACTGCCTGGATATGATATTGAGACTAAAAAACTAGATCTGCTGGGAGGGGGGCTCCCCAGTACAGCTCTTGTTCTGTCATCCCAACATTCAACTTGATTTTGTTTCAGGTTAGTAGAGGTGTGCCTAAATAACATAAATGAAGGCATCCGACTTTGTTGCAAACTGCCCCAGATTTTTCCAACATGGGCACTTATTCCTATTTCAAGCCAGCTTATGTACTTAGTTAAATCTGATTGTAAAACTTTCAACTTGATATAAAGAACAGTGTTTCTTCCTAATCCATTATAACAAATGTTCCTTCATGTACAAACATATAAGGGAATTGTTAAAATGTACAATATTTATGATCGGCTTTTCAATATAAATAGTAAAGTTTGTGTGTCTGCCTGCCTGCCTGTCTGTCTGTCTGTCTGTCTCTCTCTCTCTCTCTCTCTCTCTTTTTCTTTCATATAAAACCAGCTGCCATCCACATTGCAGGGTACATGGTAATGTCATACTGCCAGGCACTAATGGACAGGACCCAAATCATCTCTCTTCCTAATTTGGCCCACAGAGGTATAGCAAGACTAATCACCTGAAGTTTTCTGAGAAAAATATTAATAAATATAAACTTATATTAATTGGATTGGCATGAAACATGCCCCAGAGTTCATGCATCTCTTTTAAATTTGAATAAGTGTACAGTGTCAAGTTTTGTTTCCTTTTTTCAAACAGTGGGATCGGTTTTCCAAGTGAGGAATGAAGACACAGATGTTACTGTTTTGTTGTTATATTCCTTAGATTTATTGCTCAGTTCTTCACCAAAGTGGCTCCCAAAGCAGATATCAGCTTGCTGGAAAGTTTTGTGAGTGCACCAAACCAGACAGTGTGATGCCCTTTTAGAGTTTCTTTTGCTTCAAGCCGGCACCCCAACACAGTAGGAGAGAGAAACTGGACAAGATGTCACTGGCCAGTGACTGCTAATTGGGTGATAGCAGCCAGCCATGTTCTTCAAAGCAGAACACAACTCATTTCTGCGAGCTATTGTCACTGGGCCCTTAAGCTCTCCTCCTCTTGGTTTCAGGAGATTTTAAGCACAAACTATTGCTTATTTGTTTCTAGAAAAAGAAAAAAACAAGGAGAAGGTGGAGGAAAAACACAACAAGGCTTTTTAAAACTGAATAAATGGTCTGTCTCTTGTGACCCTTATGGTGGGCTTTGGAAAATTTTCTTTCTGATGTCTTGGGAGGTGAGTTGGTTAACTACCAATGGTACAGTACCTTTTCTGTGCCTGCACTTAAAGATATCTTTCTCAAGATATTTCTGCAGAACCAGCTTTTGGGCATGAGGGCAATTATTCCTGCTTCTGTGGTTTATAAACTGCAATACTATACTTACCTAACCAGTTGAGTTCAGTGGAAGGTAAAAGTTTAAAGGATTTGATGAGCTTGGATCTTTCTAATTTATGAAATCTTGATCTTTGGTTCACTAAAGAAAACCTGCTAAAATATTTTATACTTTTATAATGTTTCCCCTTGTACAGAATGTTATTATTGTATTGTAAGCACAATACATACTTTTAAAAACTCCTAAATTACTGGAATTCTGATTTGTCGGGTGAAATGGCACATTGAACAGTGACAGAAATACCTCAGAATAATGATTCAGTGTGTGCTTAACTCTGTACATTGAACTCGGTAGGGTTTTTGTTTTTGTTTTAGAAGACTTACATAAGATTCACTGATTGAGAAATTCGGGTGATAGTCAATAGGTCCAATGACTTTTAGAAGTCCGTATTATATCTTCTGAGATTTAATATTGAGGGAAGAGATTGATAGACAATTGCTACCTATAATATTTTAAATGGATCCTAAAAATAATATCCAATTGACTATGGACAAAAAGAAAAAAAATACTCTTATGGTACATTAAAAACACATAATTTAGTTGGGGTAGAATATGAGTGAGGATTGATACATGGCCACAGAAAAAGGCAGATACATTTGGATGTATATTGTTTTCAAATGACAAGAAATAATAGTACTGTGTACTATGTTTTCCTTTAATCAAGTCCTAGCTTGAATACTGGGACCATGTCAGCGCTACAAAGGAAACCAAATCAGGAAATCAAGTACAGAAGACTAGAATTATATTTCATTGCAATAGGCTATAATACCAGAATCTACCAGAATCTGCCTGGGATTCTCCTCCCCTCCATCTTATACTCTAGGGCAGGGGTAGGGAAACTTGGCTCTTTTATCACTTATGGACTTCAACTCCCAGAATTCCTTAGTGAGCCATAAAAGTTTCCCCATCCCTGGCCTACATTTGTATATTAAGCAGTCCCATTCAAGTCAAAAATTGATTTCCCCCACAACTGAAAAACCAGTAGGCCAGGGATGGGGAAACTTTTATGGCTCACTCAGGAATTCTGGGAGTTGAAGTCCATAAGTGATAAAAGAGCCAAGTTTCCCTACCCCTGCTCTAGGGAGTCGGGGGGACAAATCTGAGTCTCTCTATAATACTCTCCAGCTTCTCAGGGCTGAACTCTACTTCTTCTTCATCTGATGGCTTCCAGATTCCTTCTCCAACCAGGGAGCCTCCCTAATTCCCTATTCTCCAGTTCCAGGTACTGCCATTCAAGAGGGATTGAGACAAATTAGATCAGGTTGAAAGAAGAACCGAATGATCAGGAAATGGAAACTGCCTTCTGAAGAGCCATGAGGAAACAGGAGATAGAGTTGAAAAGATGAGAGGGGATATTATTCAGGTACTTTTAAATACCTGAAGACTGTCACAGGGAAGAAAATGTAGTATATTGTTCCAGAGTGCAGGATACAAAATAATAGATCTAGGCTCCAGGAAGACAGATCCTGTTCAAATACCAAGGAGAAAAATAACTAATGCTAAATTAAAGAGTAGAACCACCACCCAAAAAGATCCTGGGCTCCCCTTGAGTGGATGTGTTATATAAATTAATAGCCACCAGTGAATTATGTTGTAATTTGGATTCCTACACTGAGCAAAGGGTTGGACTTGATGGCTAAACGGCCTCTTCCAAATCTATAATTCTGTGATTTGAAATTTGTCATGACAGAAACTTTCATGAAATAATGCTCACTTCATCAGATAAAACCAAAGAAGAGAAGCCTCATCCATAAAATATGATGCCATAATGGTCTTCAAGGAACCATAAGGCTTTTGTGTGGTAATGTCATCCCTGCCTCAAATTAACATATGCTTTAAAATGTTGTGTTTCCAGCCTGTTTCATTTTGGAGCCTCTCGGGGCTTCTGGGTGACCACATCTGGAAATGGACAGCTGAACTGATGAACCTTTGATCCAGCAAAGCAGTTGACTTAAATGTAACTTAAATATAAATAAAAGAGAGCAAGCAAAGCTTGCCAGCTACCTCATTGAAAGGAGATCCCAGTGAATGGCTTTCCCTAACATTTTACATCTCTAAGAGGAAGCATTCAACTAGCTTTGTTAGATGATCACAGAACTTATTAGGCTTCCATATAAAATGTTCAGCTGCAGAACCAGGAGAATGTCTGCCCAACATCTCCATTTACTCAAAGTTCAAGAATGCAACAGCAGAAATTAGGGTTGCTTAGACTGCCACTGCCATTAAGTGGAAAGGCTATTCTTTAATATAACTGAATGTCATGAGACCCCTTCTAGTTCAGCATCATGGAAAAAGTAAGCATCTTCTCTGTATCATCACCCTGTCTGCCTTAATGCTTTTTGGATGAATAAAAGGTAGTGCCACTACCTACTAAATGAAAGAAGTGGAGGGGGAGGAGGAACAGGATTAGAGGGAGAAATCAAAATGGTACTGGAGCCTCTTTCAGGCCTCTTGAATCTGGTAGTACTGTTGGATTAGCCCCAAACATAATAACAACCCGGATACTACTGCAATAACAGGAATTGTTGCCATCCATGGTCACAGCCTAGCAATATCTAGTCCTCAAAGATAAGAAGAGAGCCCAGCAGGAATAGGGCAAGGACTTCAAATCTATCAAATCCAATTGATATGAAATAGATATGCAAAAGCAAACTGATAGTTCATTTATTGCAGAAGCCTGTCAAAGAAAATTAAAAAAAAATGCACCCCACATTTGATCCTGCATTCCCCAGTAGTGCAGGTAGAGTACTGAGGTGATACCCCTCTGATGAAAGCAAATCATCTATACATCCTTAATGCAGAAATTTCCTACAGTTGTATTCAATTGTCAAATTCAGATCCCTATGAAAGTTTACTAGATTAGAGTTACTTAACATAACATCTAACT